CCTCTGTGAGGTGCACCAAGAGAAGAGAGATACAGATGCATAAGAGATGTATATCTTCTCAGTATATCATTTGTCTTCCCTGGGTAACATATGCACAACTTCTTCTCCTTATTCTTTTGGATTGCTTTTTTTCCTTTTCATGTCTATATATATTAGGTATGTTACATTTGTCTGATGATCGTGTGGAATTGCTCGATGGCTTGGATTTTTGTTTGAATCTCATGATAATCGACATCAGTTTACGAAGCATTAGACAAGCGGTTTGTTTCATTTGGTTGTGTACTAGATTATTATAGCGATTGGTACTTTTTGTGTGAGAAAAAGATTCAAAAGTAGTTTGTTCCCTCAATATTTCTTTATGTAATTTCTTAGTTGTGCTATAGAAGAATGAAGGATTTTTTCTGTTATATAGTTGGAAAAACAAAAAAATTCTCCTAGAAAAAGAATAATTCTTACATATGATCATATTATGAGTCATAATGGCGCCATCGAGTATTCGAAGCACAAATACAACAACACAACAACTTTGTACCGTCTTAACATGATTGGAATATGCATGTTATGAAAGTAGCAAAAGATCATGAAAAACACACCAAGCATGTATCTTCGAAGAAGCAGAAGAAAGAGACAAGCATGTACCTTTCGTCACTTGAAATTGTCTCTGATATCATCTTGGCTAATGTGGTTTTCTTATAAACGAAACTGGTGTTGTTCTTATTTCTTAACAAATTAAATTTTGTGTTTTTTTTATCATTGTCGCTTTATATCAGTTGAATTTTAAAAATTGAAATAATATTTTCAAATAGGAAAATGAAGTTACATCGGATGGGGCATGTTAGAATTCAGAAGCCACATGATCTATAATGCTCTCATGAATCATATAATTGAGATATAAAGGGTCTTTTTAAGTATACTCTCTTCTATGAACAAGAAAGTTAAAGTTGCTCTTCTCATGTGAAACATCTTATTGATATGTCCCATACTTTACCTATATTACTATCTATTTTACTATATTTTGTAAGTATTTATCTACGGTTTTATACCTTTAAAGGTAGTTTTTCTCGTATTTGTAGTTTTAGAGTSTTTACAGGGAAATCAAGCAAAAAGGATCTAAAAGAGCCAAAATAGGTGTAAACCAAGCCACAACAACTTACACAAGCCAAAGACACCATCAAAAACCAAGAATTCARAAGAATCAACATTCTACCAAATTGGACAGAATGCATACGCCAGAAGTTCAGCAGTGAACGGAGGATCAAATCAATTTTTAATTTAACGAAACTTGTTGTGAAGATATATCTTTGAGTCATATTTACAATGAAGTTTGAATCATCTCAATTGGAGCTGTGAGCAGGAAGATACACTGGATTTACTGAAGCCACGTTAAGCTGCCTCAGAAGTGAAGCAAGTGCAGAATCGACCCAAGTACCGGACCACCTCGTGGACCGATATTCTAGACCGATGCTGGCACAAATCAAGGCACTTTAAACCCAATACCGGTCGTATTACTTGGCCAACATTGCCAAACCGACTTGGAGAGGATTTGACGTAAAAAGACTGTTTTGCCCGAAGTGAACCCTAGAAGAACCTAAGCCTATATATATTTGTTTTTTGCCTTTTGTTAGGGATATTCCAAAATATTAAGAGTAGTTTTATCATAGGAGCAGCCACCACGAGGTCTCTTGGTGTTCTTCATTAGATTTGGATTCCAGAGCAATCCGGTGGATGATCTCGTTTTGTACCTCGATAT